CCATCCACTATTGCCCTCCACAAGGGCAGCCACTATATTGACTTCTAACACTAGAGATTAGTTTTCAGCAAACAAACCTAGATTCATACATCCAGGTTTACTGAAGGTGTGGACAATCCCATAATCTCAGGCACAGATGGCAGGCATGGGAAATGGTACAGCCATTTTGGAAGATAATTTGGCAGCATCTGCTGAAACTTAAGATATATGTACTTCTGGGTCTAGCATTTCCACTTCCTAGTGTCTGCCCCGGAGAAACATTCACGTATGTGGGCAGAAAGGCAGCAAGCACAAGGGTGTTTGAAGCAGAATTATCTGTAATAGTGAAAAATGGAGGCCAGGCATGTGACTCACTCCTGTAATCCCAGCACTTTGGGAGGCTGAGGCAGGCAGATCATTTGAGGACAGGAATTCAAGACCAGCCTGGCCAACATGGTGAAACCCCGTGTCTATTAAAAATACAAAAATTAGCTGGGCATGGTGGTGTGTGCCTGTAATCCCAGCGACACAGGAGGCTGAGGCAGAAGAATTGCCTGAACCCGGTAGGCGGAGGTCACAGTGGGCCGAGATCACAGCATTGCACTCCAGCCTGGGCGACAAGACCACAGCTCTCAAAAAAGAAAAGAAAGAAAAGAAAAAGAAAAAAGAAAAATTGGAAGCAACCTAAATGTCCATCTGAAGCGGAATGGTTTAAAAAAACAACTATGGGGCATCACACTGTGGTTTACACAGTAGTAAATCAGAAGAGTGAGGTGGATCTTTATATACCGACATAGAAATATCTCCAAGACATACCACAGAGTTTAAAAACAAAGCTGCAGAAAAATGACCAGACCCACACATGCAACATCAAAAACAGTGATGACTCAGGGAAGGGGGTGAGATTAGGGCATGGCTGGGACAGTAAGAAGAAATGTTACTTTTTAAAATCTGTATGCAACTGAGTTGTTCTGAATGTTTACAGTAGCAGTAGATTTCCATATTACTTGTGTGAACTATTTTGCAAGATTTTAAGGGGAATGAAACAAGCCACCCACCAAGTCCCGGTGTGGAGAAAAAGGCTGCCCTCTGCCTGCTGGCTGGGGTGAGTGGCTCCCACTCAGGCCCTCAGTTTGGGTTCCAGGGGAGCAGTTTTCTGGGCCTCTGAGACCTAAGGGGCTGAATGAATGAAGGCGTGAGAAGACCCTGGAGACCAGAAGTGTGGAGGCCTCCTTTGATGGAAAACAGTGCCCTCATTACAGCACCTGGGCTGAGAACTCAACACCCATGTGATGTAAGTGGACCCCTGCAAAGGAACATGTCCCAGAGCTGGGCGCCGGCTCCAAACGTGCCCAGCACTTTAAAGGAAGGATTGCTGGGTCTGATTCTCTCCATCCCTGGGGATGGAAAAAAGAGGTGGCAGGTGTCACCTCACAACAGGGTGGCTTTGTGAGAGTGAAGCACTGAGGCGGAGGCTCAGGGTGAGCGTTGAGACATCCAGCGGCTGTGGGCTCCAGAGAGCGGGGGCTGTAGGGGAGGGCAGCAGCCAGGGCTCTGCATCACAAATATTCAACCTTTAAGAATGAGCCAGGTGGGGAGGCTGCCCCAGCTGACTCCAGGGAGAAGCGTTCCTTAACTTCGCTGAGCCTCAGTTTTCTCCTCTGTAAAATGGGTGCAGGCTCTTGCCACCTCACACACACACACGAAGGCTCCTGAGTCAGACCGCCTCAAGTCTACTTACAAAGCTGCTACTTGCCAGCTATGTGTCTTTTTTGTTTTTTATTTCCATCCAGCTGTGTATCTCAATCCAGCCTCAGCCTCCTTCCTCATCAGGTAAAACAAGAACCTCACTCTTCCCTAATCTCAGAGGACTATCATGAGGTTTAAATGAGATCGTGTCAGTACGGTCATGTCACAGTGCCTAGCACTAGAATCTGATCGATAGCTGTTTGTTACAATTATTAAGTAATAATTTATTAATTTTTATTTACAAAGCACCTATATGCCAAGAACTGTGCTAGGCATCACAGCACATCCCTGAGTAAATTATAATTCCTATGCTCATTGTGTTTACAGTCTAAAGGAGGTGTAAATAAAGGCACCTAGAGACATACCTCCAACTGATTCACTCCAGATTTCAAAGACAAATACCCTGAGGTCCAACACTCATCTCTTCCAAGTTCAGAATTTGACCCCATCAGTGTTTATCTACGATGCAATTTTGCTAACACCTCCCTCCTCCCTGCCGATCCAAAGTATTGTGTATGGAAATGACCTCAATGTGTCCCCAAAAATCTATGTCGTAAAGATGTCAAAAGTACAATGCAAAGTGACACAAATTGTTGGCAGTATCCACTTTAGCTAAACACTCACCTACCTATGCCCCCGCAAGTCCACTGCCGGATATCTGCCCAATAGAAATGAGTACTCACTCTGACCCAAAAATTCATGGAAAGATGTTCATAGCAGCTTTATGAGTGATAGCCAAAAACTGGAAACCCCCCAAATGTCCATTCACAGGAGAATGTACCACCAAACTACGACAGAGCCTCCAAATGGAATATTTAATTCAGAAATCAAGAGGAATGAACTCTTGACATAAGCAGCCACACTGATGAATCTTAAACACACAGCTGAGTAAAAGAAGCCAGACCCAGCCAGGCACAGTGGCTCATGCCTGTAATCCCAGCACTTTGGGAGGCCAAGGCAGGCGGATCATGAGGTCAGGAGTTCGAGACAGCCTGACCAACATGGTGAAACCCTGTCTCTACTAAAAACACAAAAGATGTTCTATGTCCTGAAATTTCCCTCATGGGACTGCCCCTGTGTTCCCTCCACTTCGGCAACCTGACCTCCTTGCTGCTACTGAATACACTGGGTACACCCCAGCTCAGACCTTTGCACTAACCGCTGACCCTGCCCCAGGATGTCTTCTTGGCTAACTCCCGGCTTCCTTCAAGTCTGTGTACATATCTCATCTTCCTATGGAGACCCATCTGAGCATCTATTGATGACCACGTGTGGTCCCCACTTGCCACCAGCCTCCCCCTTGCCCTTCTCTATGCTTCCTTTTTCCCCTAGTCTCTCCGGTCTCCTACCTCACTATCTACCTTACTTATTCATTATGCTTATTGTCTACCTCCCACGCTAGAATGTGAACAGAAACGCCACAAGGACAGGGACCTTTGTTGTGTTCACCAAGGCATCCAAGCCCTTGGACAGTTGAAGGAACAAACAGATGGAATTTGAGAGGCTGGCAGGGAGGGGCAAGGCTGCAGAGGCCTTGTAGGCCTGGGGGAAGCATGTGGGTTTGAGTCCCACTGCAAAGGGAAGACACAGAAGAGTTCCAAGGAAGGCAGAATCCGGGTCTGAGTTATGCTTTAAAAGCTCACTCTGGAGTCTGTGGAAAACGACTTGAAGGGGAGCCATACGGTTTGGCTCTGTGTCCCCATTCAAATCTCATCTCAAACTGTAATCCACACATGTTGAGGGAGGAACCTCGTGGGAGGTGATTGGCTCATGGGGGCAGTTCCCCCGCTGCTGTTCTCACGACAGTGAGTGAGTTCTCATGAACAGTGGGTGAGTTCTCACGAAAATGAGTGAGTTCTCACAAGAGCTGATGGCTTTAAAGTGTGGCACTTCCTTGAGCACACGCTCTCTCTCTCCTGTGCCGTGCAAAAGGTGCCTTGCTTCCCCTTCACCTTTTGCCTTATTGTAAGTTTCCTGGAGCCTCTCCAGCCATGTGGAACTGTGAGTCAATTAAACCTCTTTTGTTTATAAGTTACCTAGTGTCAGGTAGTATCTTTATAGTAGTGTGAAAACCGACTTAATACAGAGAGCAAGTTACTGTCGGTGCCAAGGCATTCAGAGGTTCCCAGGCTGGGGTGGCAGCATGGAGACCTGGGAGAAGTGGATAGACTCCAGAAATTCACTAGAGGTGGACTCACCAGGCCTGGGGGATCAGACGACCGTGGAGTTGCAGGAAGACAGGGCAAGGAAGGCTCCCAGGCTCCTGGCCTGAGCAACAGGGTCAGAACAGAGCCATGTGCTGAGGTGGGGGAGACAGGAGAGGCGCAGTTTGGAGGCTTGGGGTGTCAAGAGTTCTCTTTGGGCCATGGTGAGTTTCAGGTGTCTATTAGACTTTCAAGTGGAAATGTCAAGTAGCTGAATGGACAAGGTCAAAGCTCAGAAACACAGTCTAGATTGAAAATATATAATACATTAGGGGAATGTTGGCTTAGAGTTCTCTTTAAAGCCCCGAGAATGTAGAGAGAGAAGAGAAGATGTCCAAGAACTGTCCCTGAGGACCAAACCCTGAAGCCTTCTGATCTGGCCCTTGAAGAATGAGGACTTTGCCAGGAAGGTAGGGAGAAGGCAGTCCAGGCTGAAGGAACGGCCTGGGCATGAGCTCCACCTAAAAGAACATGGGTCTCAGGGCTCTTTGAAACTGTGCAAGTCATCCAAAACAAAGAAAGCCCAAGAAACTGTCACAGCCAAGGCAGCCAGAGGGGCATGAAGACTGAATGTCATACCGTATTCTGGAGGTATCTTGGAACAGAAAAGGGATATTAGGTAAAAACTCAGGAAATCTGAATAAAATATGGACTTCAGTTAGCAGTAATGCATCAATATGGCCTATTAATTGTAATAAATGCACCATACAACTAACATGTATAGCTGCATACATATAAGGTGTTAATAACAGGAAAACTGTGTGTGGAGTATAAGAGAACTCTCTGTACTATCTCCTAACTTTTCCCGAAATCTAAAACTGTTCTTAAAAATAATAAAGTTTATTTAAAAAAAAAAAAGAGCAAGAGTCTCATAAATGTGCACATGGGCACACACACATACATGCATTCCAAAGACTATAGTAATTTTTTTTCTCTGGAGAGGACTTTGACCCTGGCCAGTCCCTTCGGTGCCCAAAAGACTTAGAGACATTGTGAATATCTCATCACCCCTCCCCCTGCCAAAGAACCAAGGGTCCTCACCTCCACCTACTTTCTTTCTGTTTACAGAAAACATACTCTCCTCAGGCCAGATTACATAGTGAAAATGAGAAGCAGAGACTAAATGGCTCAGGTAAGTCAGACTCACCTAGAATTCCTAGGTGCGGCCAGAGTCCATCCCTTCAGCATGCTCCACAAAAGCACATCCCATAGCCACAATTTCCCTGAATCCCACTTTGCTCGACAGTTGGTTTTGTTTCCCCCTTGCAGCAAAAGTTCTGACACTATCTGGGTTGAAATTCTCGCTCTACTACTAACTTACTATGTGATCTAGAGCACTATGTGATCTTAAGCCTCTTATAAGAGCCTTATTTCCTTAAAATAAGGCTGTAAAAGGGGCATAACCATAGCTTGATCAATGACCTATCGAGTGGATTAAATGAGATGAACTGTAAATTGGATATAATTTCATCTTCTGAGGAAAGGATATAAGATAGTAAATGCCAAATGGCTGGCATCGTGCCTGGCACTCCTGAATGCTGGTTGTTGACGACAGACACGATCAGTGTGGCCAATCAGTGAGGCCCCCAAAGATCAAGTGTTACCTTGGGCCCCTGACTGGTGTCTGAGGTGTGGCAGGTGGGTCTTCGGGACACTGGATCGTGTCTGGGGAGCAGAGAGGTACAGGACCTCTGAGTCAGAGCAGAGGCTGGGTCTGGGCAGTGGCCATGGGCCAACCAAAGAGAGCTTGGCCAACAGTTGACCTTGGAGGTACCAAGGCTCGTACCAACGCTGGAAACAGGTGGCAAAATGGAGGTGGTACTGCGTGGTTGAGACCCCAACCCCCACTTCAAGATTCCCTGGCCCCTTTAGAAGTGGCCTCAAACAGAGGCCATCCAGTACCCTGGACAGCTCCAGGAGTCTCTGGATTTCAGGGGCACAAGTTTTGTGGGCTGAGAACTGGGTTGGGTCTTGGTTGTGCACACATGGGCAAGCCACCTCACCTCCCTGAGTCTCAACGCCCTCACCTGTAAACTGGAGGGAATACCCACCTTTCAGGGCTGTTGTGATGAGTGAATTAGATAACAGAGAGGCAGAGAAACAGATGGCCAAGTTCTGAAGTCAGACCACCTGCATTCATATATCCCAGCCCCACACTGTGTGACTTCAGAGAAATAGCTTCACCCTTTCTGAGCCTCAGTTTTCTCTCATCTGCAATGTTAATAGACCCGGCTTCATATGATTCTGAAGATTAAATGAAACAGAACATGAAGCACACAAATAACATTAGTTTTTGTTTTAGAAGAAACTTATCATCACCAGACACAGAATAGATCCTCAAAATTGCCAGCTTCTTGTATCTCCCAAAACCCCCGGGAGAGCTTGGCACCTCCCACCTTTAGACCTGATTGGCCCACTCACTTCTGATTATTACAGACACCCCACAAAGCCAGAGAAAGCCATCTTGTGGAGTTCCACAGGCCTCCGCCCTAGCCCCCAGCAAAGACCCTGCCTCTCAGTGCCACCCACCCCATGCTACTTGGGACATGTATTAAAGTACCAGCATACACTTCCACCAGCCTCTGTTATGAGCTACACGCTCCCTCTCTCGCTCGCTCGCTCTCGCTCTCTTGTCTGTCTCTTTCTTTCAGCTGATTAACCTCACAACCCTATGAAGAAAGTGCTCTGGTTATCACCATTTTACAGATGAGGAAACTGAGTTTCTGCGAGGTTAGGTAACTAAATCGTGGGGTCACACAGCTGTTAAATGGTGGCAGTGGGACCTAATCCCAGGTATGGCACTTCAGAACCCCACGCCTGCTGGTAGCATCAACGAGGCCAGCGGCCAAAGAAAGGGGAAGAGTAGGTGGGAGACCGACCGACCGAGGCTGAAATCAGGACACTGTGTTCTCGCCTTGGCTGTGGAACCCCGGGTCTAGGAGTCCTCACTGCAGACGCTCCCCCGCGCCCTGCCTGCTACTTGGGCGCGGGCACCTGCCCTGGTTCCTGTCCCCCTTCTTCCCCCGGCGGCGGTGTCTCTCCCTCCGCCTGCCCCCCCCACCGCCCTCCCCCCGCCCACGCCGCCGCGGTAACCTGACCCTCGGCGGGGTTTGGGCCTTGGGGCCGCGTCACTGTCGCGGAGGCGCTTGGGCTCGGGACTATGCTCCTGCAGTGCGCTCCGAGCCCGCAGTGCTGGCTCCGCAGTAGGACACGCAGGGGCATGGCGCAGAGGCTAGGCGAATGGGCCCGGGGGCCCTCTGATGCCACCGGGCTCTACAGAGCCGTGCTCCTCAGGTCGGGTAAGTGGGAGCAACGCCACCTTCGCCGCAGGAAGAGCGCGAGGAGAGTTTGCGGGTGCACGGTCCTCAGTCCCTGGAAGGTCCGCCGCTGGGGGCCTCTGCTTCGTTGCTCTGCTTCTTTCCTAACCTCTGTCATTCTGTTTGCTTGTTTGTTTGTCTGTTTGTTTGAGACAAGGTCCCATTCTTTCTCCCAGGCTGGAGTGCAGTGGTGAAATCATAGCTCGCTGCAGCCTCCAACTCCTGGGCTCAAGCAGTCCTCCTGCCTCAGCCTCCCGAGTAGCTGGGACCACAGGTGGGCACCACCACACCCGGCTAATTTTTTTTTTTTTTTTTTTTGGTAGAGAAAAGGTTTCTCTAGTATTGTCCACGCTGATCTCTAACTCCTGGGCTCAAGCGATCCTCCCATCATTCTTTTTAATTACTTTTTTTTCTTTCTTCCTTTCTCCTTTCTGCCTTTCTTCCCTTCCTTTTCTCCTTCCCTCTTCCTGAATTCATCCTTTTGGGGATCTTTGACACACATTGCTGTCTACCTATGTGTGAGAACACGCGCACACAGTTTCTCACTACTGAAGTCCTGCGGGGTTCCATCTCCTGGCTGATCTCTTAGAGACACAGAAGTGTGCAAAGGTGGCTGTAGGCGCGGGAGGTTTGGGCCAGGAGAGAGGAAAGTGGGCACGACCCGAGCAGCAGGCAATGGGGCGTAAAGAAGCAGGAGTGGCTGAGGGAGGTCCGCTATCCAGTGGGGCGCGACACAGGGTGGGGAGGGAAGGAATGGCAGAGCTACGACAGCAACCGCTTTCTGTACGTGGCCATGCAGCGATTTGGAAGGAAAACGGGTGGTTTTATTTGCTACGGTTGAGGGGGTGGGTGGCCGGAGCTTTTTCTCTTCCATCTTTTTGTTTGCTTGTTTGCGGTAAGCGGGTGTTGCTTTCCTACTCAAAACAATAGGAGGCCTTTTTATTTAGAAAAATGAAGTTAATATAATATATGACCAGTGTCCAAATAATTTGGAGAATACAGGAATCCGGGGAGAAAGAGAGAAAGCAAAGCCTCCATAAGCTTTTGGGGTATTTCCTTCCGGACTCCCCTTGGAGACAGACGTTTGGAAGAAGGTGAAACTCGATCTCGTGCTGGGGGGGGTCCCTGCTCAGTGGGGGTCCGTGATTACAAAGCGTCAAGGGACTTGGGCTCACAGGCCAGTTATCCTCTGCCTTGGACGAGGAGCTCGCCCCACCCGTGGGCCTGCCCGCAGACCCCTGGAGCCGAAAGCGTGAGGCAAACCAGCTCCGCGTCTGCAGCAGCGGTGCCTGTCCCGGTGCCTGTCCCCGCTCCCGCCCGGCCAGCTCTGGAACTGCTCGCCTCTCTCACTTAGGCCCCGCCTCCCTCCGGGAGACCCCTCCGCCTAGTTAAGGGAACCACAGTTCTCCAAGTCCCAAAACAAGAGTTGGCCCAAACTTCAGGACTGGCGGTGCCTTCCTAAAGGAGGGTCTCAAATCTGGCTGAGGCGGGGCAGGCAGAGAGGGAGAAGCTCTTTGGGAGGCCAAGGCAGGCAGATCACTTGGGGTCAGGCATTGGTTACCAGCCTGGCCAACATGGTGAAACCCTGTCTCTACTAAAAATACAAAAATTAGCTGGGCATGATGGCCGGCGTCTATAATCTCAGCTACTCAGAAGGCTGAGGTTGGAGAATCACTTGAACCAGGGAGGCGGAGGCTGCAGTGAGCCGAGATTGTGTCACTGCACTCCAACCTGGACAACAGAGCAAGACTCTGTCTCCAAATAGTAATAATAATTTAATGAGGTGGCGCGTACCTATAGTTCCAGCTACTTGGGAGGCCAAGGCAGGAGAGTCACTTGAACCCAGTAGGCGGAGGTTGCAGTGAGCCGAGATCACGCCACTGCCCTCCAGCCTGGCGACATAGTAAGACTCCGTCTCAGAAAAAACAAAAAAAATCTTGAATGCTCTTAAAACGAGTTATCAACATAATGGCTACCACTTACAGCGGCAGGCACTATGTGCACTACGTGAAGGGCTTTCCATATGGTATCTTCTTTGTTCCTCAAAAACTCACCTGTCCCATTTTAGGGAAGAGGATACAGAGAGTTGAAGGTCACCTAATTGTCCAGTAATGGAGCCAGAATTGGGGTCTGGTTTGGCGCCAGAGTCCATGCTCTTAATCCCAGCGCTGGAAGGGTCACCCCTGTGGAATAACTCCTGTTGGGCCATGCCTGGAAGGCAATACAGTCCTGTAGTTCAAGTCTACCTGAGGGTCATTACCTGCATCCTAGCTGGAGCTCAGGTCATGTTCCTGGAAGGGAGGAAAGCATCTCTCTCTGCCCTGTGGACAAAAGGGCACCTCCCCAGGTACCTGTGGGCATCAGCAACTATACTCCTCTGCAGCCAGAGGGGAAGACGCAGCCTCCATCCCTGCCTCTGCCAGGTAGGGCCGCCAGATAAAATACAGGGCACAGTTCCATCTGAATCTCAGAGAAACAACAAACCACATTTTAGTGTAAGCATGTTCCAAATATTTCATGAAATATACTAAAAAGTTTCTTGGTGCTCATTAGAAATGAAAATGTAACTTAGATGTGTAGCATTTGTATTTCGTACATCTAGCAACTATGCTTCAGGGAATCATGAATGTGCTTGATTCGACAGCTATGGTCTGCGCAGATTCTCCTGTGCACACGCGTAAGCACAAACACACACGCTCTCTCTCACATCCTCTCCCCATCTGTAGGTTCACTGTGCTTCTTGTCTGACTACAAGGGAATTAAAACATACTGGGGGTGGGGGCACCCCAGGGTCCTTCTGCAGCTAAGAGACCAA